GATCTGAGCTGTTCCTAGCCCTGCACTCTTCTGCACAGAGAGCTCCGATGTTGCTCCTGGGGCCACTCTCCCAGCTGAGGAGTCACAGCCCCGAGTGCTCCTACCACCACTGGGAATCTTCGAGAAAGAGCATCTTCCACCCCCATCTACTTTCTTTTCAGTACCTTGTAGCAAGCTCTGGAGATTGAGCTCAGCTTCATGGCGCAGGTCCTCCACACCAACAGGTCGAGCCAAAAATATGTTCACAGGTTGATGCCATAACAGCTTGGGTGGGGTAGGCTTCTTCACATCCAGGTCTAAGTTTGAAGTAGCTGGGGAGAAAAAACAAGAAGAAAGAACAAAGTTTGCATTAGGATTCTAGAGACACAGAGACAACAGAACTCGATCCCCTTTTGAACCACTTAGCTCTTGCTGTTTGCAGTCATTTTTTAGCAACAGACTGAAACATTAACTGTGGAGTCCTTGGCGTTCTCTGAGCTTGGTTGTTTTCTTGCAAATGTTTCATTACCCGGCTAGGTAACATCTTCAGTGCTAGAAGGGAGTGGGGTTTGCTCTCTGTTTATATATTGTGGCACGCCCTGCCAGTGTGGGTGAGGGCGTGGATTTTGTTTTGTTTATTTTATGCATATAAATTTTTATGTATATATTTTTTACTTTTTATGTATATTTTATATACATATTTTATGTATATAAAGTATGTATATACAATTATAAATTATATAAATTATTTTATGTATATAAATTATGAGGAAAAAATAGAACAACCCCCCACCAACACTGGCAGGACATACCACAATATATAAACAGAGAGCAAACCCCACTCCCTTCTAGCAGTGAAGATGTGACCTAGCCAGGTAATGAAATGTTTGCAAGAAAACAACCAAGCTCAGAGAACCCCGAGGACTCCACAGTTCATCCCTGAGCTACACATATTCGCTTCTACTGAAACATTAACCCTATGTGAATCCAGCAAAATCCAAGTTGAATAATCAGTTCTATTTGAAACCACTGATCTGATTTAATTCAACCGTTCAAACTGATCCAATCAATCTGATTCAGTATCAAATCATCAAATTTTATTTGGAAAACACCATACCCACTCCTGGGCAGGACTGTCCAAATCAATTTGTTGGTATCCAACTTAATTTAATTTGTGCTTCATTCAACTTGCTTATGAACTGAATAGAACTGACTATTTGCACAGCTCATTCCCAAACATTGGACAGGTAGTCCCTGGCTTAAGAAATCCCAGTTTAAGGACAAACCATAGTTAAGAATGGAGCCTACTGTAGCAAAATTCAAGTTAAATACACAATGATTTGAGTTAAATACACAATGGTTCAAGTTGATTACACAACACTACTTCTACAGTATTATACAATAATACTGTTCCGGCTTACGTACAAATTCAACTTAAGGACAGACCTTGGGAATGGAACTTGTTCTTAAACTGGGGATTACCTGTATACAACCTCCTATCCCCGTCTTCTCTCCACCCCCTTTAAATTAGTGGATTTTCTGGAACAATATTCTATTGCTTTAGCTCAACCTGAGATCAAGCTTAGTATGCTTGGCTTTTATTCAATAAACAAGACTTTAAAAAAATGACACTACTTCAATGGTTTATTAAACAACTAAAGACTTTTTCTCTCTTTTGTAACAGCGTTACCTCGATAGGATGCATAAACACCTCTGCTGGAAGGATACAGATTGAAATGCTTGAGTAGGAAAAAATAAATACATAGATACATAGATCACCTCCTGAGAGTCAATGGGATAGATAAACGTGCAAAGAATTGCAACCGAAGTGGCTGTAAGAGACTCTCGTCCCCCCCATCTTCCTAAATCTTGTGCTGCATTTCTCCCTTCCTTCCTAAAAATGCTTGTTTTTTGAGTAGGAAGCTGGATTTCCTTTCATATTTCTTTCTCTCCAAAACAATAATTCATCCCTGGTTTCAGTAGGTGGGAAATTAGTCAGACTGGAGTTCTATAGGAGGAAGGAGGCTACTATGGAGTGATCCCTCAGATTCAAGACTGCCTCTGTCCTGATCTGCCTCTGCAGTTCTCCTTTTGGGGGCCTATCCCACCAAGGAGGACACCCATCACAGTCCATTTTCACCAAAGGCACAGTTCACACAAGCTGTGAGACAAGGCTAAAACAATTTTCTATGGTTCATGAGGTTGCGTGAACCATCCAGGGTATTCACCGAACCGCCTATCTGCCATGATGTAGCTGATATCTGGGGTCACAACATGTTCCACATACACAACTAACATTACAATTGCAAATATGGATATTGTCTTTGAGCAGTTCTCCAAGTGTGGTCTGGGGACCCCTGGAGGACCCGAGATTTTTTCAGGGATCCATGAAGTCAAATAAATACATATTTTAAAATGTCTCGGTTTTAATTTCTAATATAGTAAATATTGAGAGATATAACCCACATAAACTAAAGCTCTTTGAGGACCTCGGTCATTTTTAAGATGGTAAAGGGGTCCTAAGATCAAAATATTTGAGAACTG